AAAAAAAAAAAAAAAAAAAAAAAAAAAACCCTTGTCTATACAACTTTTAACCCTATAAATCAATCTATGAAGTTCATAAACCACAAGCAGAGCAGCACCGCTTTCCAATTTGAGTGAAGAACCACTGCAAGGGATTTGGATAGTCATCTTCCTCTACAGGGGCTGTAGGCAACGGTACCTCAGGAGGTAAATGCCGGTGAAATGCATCTACTGCGGCCGCAACGCCATCTTCATTCTCTATCAACTTTGCTAATTCCATTGCTTTAGATTTCACCTGCAAGAGAAGGGATGGAATCTTGCTGAATATCCGAAGAACTATAACTTTGTTGTGTATGGGGGCTGTGAATTCTGCTTTAACAAAGAGTAGTAACAATTGTACTCCTAATCTTGTAATTCCTTTGATTAAACCAAGTGGATTTTTACTCGCCTTTGCCTATGAACATAGGCCAAGGGTTGAAACTTATATAATAGTGACTTTCTTTGACAATGAATCAAAGATTTTATCAATCATTCAATCTTGGTAAACTTGGGGCAAACAGATGTTGGAATTACCTCCGGCTGGAGCATGAATGTAATAGCATTTGAAAGGTTCTCAACGTTGAGCTGTGATATTGGTATTGGTGCAGGTCCCAGCGCTTTCTCATGTACTCTATCACCCCAAAAGAATTGATCTCCAAAAAATGGTACTATGGTTGTTGGACACTGTAATTCAAAAGTTTTGACATTAGACAGAACTATTAAAGATATATAGACATTGATTGATCGCTTAGAAAGTCGACTTCAGCTGAAACATCAAACTTTGGATGGATATCTTTCGTGAGTGCATTGTACATACACAATCAAGAAGAATGCTAAAAATCAATGTAAAACCAGGAACTTACCCCAGCTTTAAGACCTGTAGCTGTAGTTCCAGCACCACCATGATGAACCTGCAGATTTGTGGTAGTACCACACCACAATATTGCTTACAGTTAAGATTTTTTTCACAAATATATTAAAACAGTAACTAATAAAAATCAATCAGAGTTCTTAAACAGTCCAGTTAGCTCTCAAGCAGTTCAAATTGCAATAATTTCATTTTCCCTATCCAAGAGTTCACTTAAATTTTAGAAAATATAACTCACCACAGCAGAACACTGAGGAAACAACCAATCATGAGGGCAGTCCTCCAGAAGAAAAATATTTTCAGGAACTTCTGTAACTGCAGGGCAACAAAAGAAATTATTTGAATAACCTTTCTGTTCCCAGTACTGTAAATCATGCAGTCCAGACAAAAAATTAAGTGACATGTTTGTTTCATTCCCAACATGTTCGAGTCTTTGACACTTAAAATTCTGTTGATAGCCTTTTCAACATCAGAAAATAAAAATAAAACAAAATTGATCATATACATGCAAATTTTTCAGAAATTTTTTTATTTCCTCTTCCTGTCTTAGTAGTTAGTATGCTCAAGAACTAGAAGTAGGAAAGTTCTTTTTTTTTTTAAATGAAGTAAGAAAACTTAAATGGCCCAATACTGAAAGAGTAAGACCATGGCAGGTAAATCAAACCAGAAACAATAACAAAAACAATCTGTAAAAACAAATAACTGACTAGGAAAGTACGATGGTGACAAAAGGAAAATACTTACAAAGCCCTAGATCTCCCCAACCTCGGTCAATTATTCCTCTTTGTCCTGTAACTTTTAATGCCTCCAATATGATATCCGTTGTTTTTATGGGATTTTCAAGAGGCTACACAAGCAAAAATATAGTAATCAACTATGATTTCTATAAAACGAAAAAATTGTATCTAGGGAAAAAAGGCACATCCAGGAGTTGGAGCATATGAATGGCTAGAGCATCGAAGGACCCAAATTATGTTTTTATATTCTAATCTCTAATAATATGATCATACCATGCTCCCAAACCCAATATATATAGGTTGTGGTCCTTTTTGAATCCACTGAACAAACTCTTCTGGAGGTTCATATTTTGATCCCAGGTTCAAGAAACAATAACCAACAACGTCAACCAAAGGAGACCAATCTGCAAACGAATCAAAAAATGAGGTCAATCATTGAGAATTTAAAAACATTAGAAATTAAGACTGACAACTGAAAGAAGCATCAGGCATGGAAAGAAAGAGGATCAAGTCAAACTGCAAATATAAAAGATTGGGTCAAAAGCCTAGTTGAGTCAGAGAGTAGCTAATTTATTTAGTTAAACTTGAAGATATTTTAAGCATGAGGAGTGAACCAAACAGAGCCTGTATGAACAAGGATGTGCAAATCAAGCTCAGGGAAAGAAAAAAAAAAATTTTTTTTTTTATCAGCAAACAAGTTACTGGATTTAGTTATGCCCATTTGATTCAAAGCACCACATTAAAGTCTCATATAAGAAACCAACATGCACCTTTTCAATGGACTGTCTAAAACAATAATTTAAATCTCGTCTAAAAACCTACTACCAATCTCAAAAAGAGAGCAATGTAGCATCCTTGAAACAATACACCATTTAAGCAAAAGGCACTTAGGCAGAAGAATGGCATTATGTATAGATTTAGAAACTGTAAGATAACGGGATAGTCATCAAAATTCAGTGACTAAAAACGGAATGAACTTGCAACGGTGAATCATTTGAAAAATAAAAATTCTAGGGTAAAGGTACCATATGAGTTTAAAATAGAAAATGGGCAGGCTTTGGAAGAGATAAGTAAAATTAAAAAGCATATAATGAATGGGTAAATACCCAATGACATTCCTACCTTTCGGCTTTGGCACAAGATGAGGGCTCCACATATAGCCCATTGGCAAATGAGATAGTGATCCACGGTATGTGCTGAAGTATGCAATAGGAGCAAGTTTCAACCTCCTTTTCCTAAAGTCATTGATATATCCCCTTATGCTCCACCATGTAAGTAATTCTACGATTATATATGACAGCTGAAACAAGCAAGGAGGCAAGACAAAGAGGGAAAAAGGTTTGTCAATGAAAGTGGTATTGATGATTCATTTGTTTGTGTGTAAGGGGGGGAACAAATAGCTTACCCAATATCCAGCACTCTGAGGAACACGTGCCAAAGGGTGAGGAAATTCATAAGTTGGCCTGCCTAATGAAAATGGTAGTGAGTGAGCATAACCTCATATATAGTTTTATTAAAAGAAAGATTTTTGAAAGCAATCCAATTGAGGATTATCAACACTCACGTCCAAGGCATTGTGAAGAAGATGTGAATAGGAACACCAAGAGCTTCAGCAACATGGGTATGTCCTGGAGCCAGAAGAATGCATAGCATTTAGAAAATATAACAGCCCAAATGAATTAAAATAAAGATATGATTATGAAAATACAAGCACCATTTTGGTTTGCCAAAGAGACACACAATGATCAAAACCATACTTCTAAGACATATTTTATGGACTCACCAAAGGCAGGTGGGTTTGCAATGATTGCCTGTGCCCTAAATGGTACACCAGTTTCCATATCAGCTGCTGTGCATGCTGGAAGAAGAGATTCAATAATGGCCTTCAGTTGCTTTCTTTGCATGGAAATTTCTCCCGGCCCAGAGGGGATTAAGCCTTTATTTCTAGCCATGTCTACATTATAAACCATTCATACTTATTAACATAGTGCAAACATACCTTGGTTGAGAGAAATTTAAAAAGAAAAGGAGAAGAACAGAGAGGGACTATGATACAATTACATCTAGCATGGAAATATCTAACATATTCAAAAAAATAAATTGAGCCAAACATTACAAGTTAAAGGGACTCCTGAAAGGTAGAGGCATTCACACAAGATATTCAGAAAGGCACAATAAAAGCAGGATCTGATTTTGAATGAATTTCTAAAACATACTTTGTCCTATAAATGACTGTATCATTTCCCTATTAAATCAGAGAAAGCAAAACAAGAAAGCAAGATACCAATGCCCTCAATCCATGTTCTTTTGGAATTTGATAACACAATTGGAAAAGTTTACATATGAGGAACCTCTTACATCCTGCCAAAACACGAGGATCACCACCCAAAGGATAAAACTCAACACCAGCGGACCTCACAAAATTGCAGAAGTTAGCATGAGTTGCCAACCTTACATGATGACCAAACTCCTGCAACGAAAGTGACCCATTGTTCAAAACAAAATCAAATAATCAAAAGATAAGCTCATAACAGCTTGTCCTAAGCTGAAAATTATTTACAAAATTGGAATTCTAAAAAATCAAATTAAATATGCATATTCTTCAAACCAAATATGTTAACCAAGGAATTTGAATTTGCAAAGAAACTAGTTCTTTCTTATGATTAAAGCATATGCAGACACTAAAATAAAACACATACATGGATAACACACCATTCTCTACATGGACTTTTCTCATTGTCTTTCCTCTGGTATTTTTTAGAGTGGGGCGAGTGAATGATTTATCATCATATGACATTAGGCAAATACATCTGAAGAAACTACTGAGACTCGGAGAGGAACTTATCACATAAGAAAAGAATTTCCATGACAAATAGTGCAATAAGGCAAATCAGCAAAAAATGATAAACATACCTGAAGTCTCTTTGCCATAGCCAGAAAAGGCTGTACATCTCCTCTCGTCCCAACCACAAGAATGACAATGTTTAACCTAGGAACTGATTTATTTGTTTCACTGAAAAAAGTATCATCAATATTGGGAGGGGCATCTTCAATAGAGTGAAGTTCTAATAGTTCAGAAGCAACAGGTGAACTTTTAGCTAGATCAACTTCTACTGTCCCGTCATTTTGTATCTTGACAAGCTCTACAATCAGTTTCTTCTGAAAAGTGAAAAGCAACAAAAATGAATTACAGAAGGCAAAAAGAAAGACACATAATAAATCATAAATGAAGACATCAAGGGAAAAAGATAAAAGATAAGCATATGTCATGAGTTTCACTCCCACCTGAAAGCATTATTGGTTTGTCAAGATTTGATAAAAATGTAATAACATAGAAAAATATACATTTTGTATTTTTTTTTACCTTATTACAAGAAAAAACAACATTTCTATAGCAACAGCCATCAGTGTACTTAGTTTATGATGTATAAAATAACATGACTAGTTCTTTTTGAAAATTGCATGGCTGGCATTAAATTGGTTTAAGGAAAGAAAATGAGATCAGGATAGAGCATCTAACTTCTAACAGCTTATCTTTGCTAAAAATATGCTCAATATGCATGTTTCTATGTCATTTACTTATGTCAATTGATATATACAAGCATGTAAAAAGAGGAAATTTGCAGTCAACTGCATATATGCTGCCAACCTTTTCACGCTCTGAGAGTTTATCCAATTTTAGATCATGCTTTGAAGTTGTCCTCTTCTCTGTCATTGACCTAGAGAATGTTAACTCATTGTCATCAGTCAGCAGACTTCTTTGGGAACCAACAGGTGCAGCGATGCAATGATCCAAGCCTTCAAGAAAAAAAGTGATTTTGCATCAGAGAACTCTTCCAGTAACTCTAAGTTTGAGAGTTCAAAAGCAAACACAAAGGTAAAAAGTTTTATTGATAAGAGAATATAACCAACACTGAAAATTAAAGCAGGTAATACTGCTCATCTTTGATGATTAAATTTTTAAAACTATCAGAAGTTTTAAGATCAAAGTTTAAAAAATCAAGCAATAACTATGTATCTCTGATAACCTCTATGTTAGGGTGCTAATGATTTCCATTCTACCATGTAAACCAAAAACGTTTAAGAAAGAATAGTGGGTCCAAAAAGCTAAACATTAACAAGATTTAACCGAAATGCTTTCACTTTCAGCCTGTTGCCTACAAAAACATTGAGAACAATATTACAATTGGAATATTCAAGAGTGATAAGGAGGTTCACCCTCTTACATTGTAAGTAAGATATTAGCTTTTTGTTTTGAAAGGTGGTTGGACAAGGAAAAGCTTCATATCATAAAATTTTACTCATGCAAGACAAAAATGTCATACAGGACGCATAAGGGCTATGTGTGCTTAAAGATTTTACCTACCTACGTATCCAAAATAGACAACAAAATGGAGGTGACGCTTAGCTATCTAATCTACCTGACTCTCACAAAATGAAAATCCTCATTCCAACATGGTTGAAGAAAAAAACAGGGGTGCCATTCTATGCTCTATAACATGATTTCATTGCCTAAAAAATGCACTTTACAGCTCAGCTAGATTGACTTTTGGGCCAAAATACTTAATTAACAAGAAAAGAAACCAGAAATTGAAATTGCCTAATACTAACCTCTTCTTGGTGAAGAAGTACTCGAGTTTTTGGACATTGAAATCTCTAAAACGGATCGCCCTGAATTCACCTCATGATTTTCTGCCTCCTTGGAAGAACATTTGTGGGATTGCTCATCTGAAGACCAATACTCAATTGCTACTGATTCCTTAACTTCATCTCTCTGCTCAAAGTCCTTAAGCACTTCCTTTTTGCTCCTGGTGATAGCGGTTTCTTCTTCTTCTTCTAAATCATTCAGTGGATGATCAAACCCATTACTCCCCATATTGTCAAAAACTCAGCATCAACAACTAAGCCCCAACCAAACCCTCCTCTAGACAGAATTCAGTTCCCAATATTAAGACCCTTAATTAAATTCCCAAAAGTAAAAACTACAAATTCTCGTACGCATCACCACAAAGCAGCAAAATTTGAAAGACCCAGAATTGGAGAAAACCTCCAAGAATTACAGCTGGAATGCAACTCCATGAAATGACCGAAATTTATGGCGGAAGTAGCGAGTGAACACATGGTGAGAGCACAAGTATTAGAAGCCAGTATTCCAAAAATTAAGAAAAGAACCAATACTTTCGGTGCCGAATCAATAAATATGCTTAACCAACCCAACACAACAGTACTAATGGAAACAAAACAAAGAAAGCAGCAGGTGCCCAGCTACCAGCTACCAGTCAATGAAAAAGAGCACAGAAAGGTAGGTGAATTGAGCAGGAGAGCAGCAGAACAAATTCAAAGCAATCAAGGAGGGGTAACTAAAAAAAACTCTTTGCGTAAAAACAAAGAATTCTTCCTCATTGAACTTGCAACACGGGTTGTTGTTTTCAAGATTATCAGTGCAGAAACAACCGTGAGACTTGAAGATGAAGCTTAAATCCTGGATTGGTTTTCAGCCTGGAGATTGAAAATGATGGGAAAATTTGAGGGTGAAATGCTGGAATGGAGAGATGAGTGCGTTGATGATTCATTTGATTACGAGACGTAAACCAGAGGAAATTTTCAATTCCTGGATCTGAAATCTGTAGCAAAAGAAAATCCTCCTACTACCATTCTAATTCAGTTCCCATCTCTGTAGATTTTTAATTTTCCCAATTTGGGAAAAAAAATCATATTAATGGAAAACAAACACTAATAAAGATTACTAATAAATATTACCAAAAAGTGGGTATAAGTTTGTTTATACCATGTAATAAAAATTTAGGTAAAAAAATATTTTAAATAAAAAATAACAAAATATTTTAATTTTTTAAACAAGATTAAAGTTAAAGGTAAATTAAAAAGAGAATAGTATTTATTGTTTTATCTCTTAAAAATTAAAAAAAATATTATTTTAAAATTAAGAACATTTTAATTTTGAAAAAATAATTAAAATATTTTATTTTTAAAATATGAATTAAAATATTTTTGATCTTTTTTCTTTCTAATTTTTTAAAAATAGGTGCATAAACACTAA